CGTGACATTGGGAAGAACAAAGGGAGGGGTAGATTTCAGATGATAAGTTCGGGTTTAAATTCCAAACTGTGAACAGACCCGGTCAGTCAAAATTATTTTTATTATTGATTAGTTAGATGGACAGCCATGTGACATCTGACAGACAACATTAGTTTAGAATATTATCTATTCCTGATGTTCTCTCTGTTTGGGAACTAATCTTGCTAAAAATAGTATTGACAATAGGAACCTTACTTACCTGCTGACCCCAAATGAGATCTGTCCTGATAGCCACCACTAATTAGTTGGTCTGTGTACTATGTTGCGGTAGGCATCTAGAATGATCTAGTGTGGACAGTGCACAGTGTTGTAGCCTATGAGCGACGTGGAGGACACCGGAGAGGACGACCGCAGGACCTTACGATCGGTTAGAGGACCGGTATCCCATGTGTCTTTAGGACCGGAGGGTGATAGGGAACTGTTCCGCCGACAAAGGGAAAGGAGAGCTAGAGCAGCCGAGGCCAGCAGGGCATTTGCTAGTGAGGCCAGTGCTATAGCAGCCATGGCTACCACAACCATGAGCACGTCTGCGCAGCAGACTTCCCAAGCCGGAAGTTCAGGAACCGCCGGGTCCACGGTCCTGCAGACCGTGAGTCAGTCCACTGGCTTAATGGCAAGCCAGCCCGCGGTGTTGTCCCCAGAGGATGTCGCCATCCAGCAGGCAGCCCTGCAAGAGGCACAGCTACAGCAGGCATTAGGAAAGATAAAAAGGGAGAAAAAGATAATGATTAGAAGAAGAGCCAGGATGCAACAGAGAGGGGAAGACATAGAGGAGTTAGAGACGATGGACCTGACGCATATGAATGAAGATGTGAAGTTAGTTAGGAGGGCCCTGCTAGGCGTAATTGAGATGCAGGAGCATCAAACTACCCTCCTTGTGGACATTCAACAAAGCCTAGCCGTGTTGGCAGGTCGTACTCAGGCAGCACCATCACCAGCAGGGCCTGGTGCCTGGCCCGTGCCATATCCTCCTCTTTCTGTTCCACCGGTGACTGGGGTATCCCCATATGTAGCCCCTTCATCAGTTGTTATCGTTTCCCTGGGCATGCCTCTGTCAGGAGGGTTAACAGCAGGGAGTAGTTTGCAGGTTCTTGTTCAGACAGTGTTTACTCCAAGTCCGTCACAGGTTGCAGTCACCACGCAGCCTGCTGTCTCACAGTCAGTGCAACCTCAGGGCACACAGCCCCAGCAGCTAGCACAACAACCTGTATCGTCGGGTCCACAACCCGGGTTGGTGCAAGGACCGGGACAAAGTCAGTGGGTACCGAAGACGGCCATCGCCGCTCCCAAACCCTTTACAGGGGACAAGAGAGGCGAAGATCTCGACACATGGTTGAGGGCAGTGCCGCTCTATGTCAAGTGTAAACTCACCTTGCCACACGAAGAAGTGCTTGTGGCTGCTTCCTACCTGGAGGGTAGTGCAGCAAGATGGTCGAGTGGGTTAGTGCAACTCCAGGGGTACGGTCATGACTTCCACTTTTGGGCAGCCTCTCAAAAATTGGAGGACTTCCTGAAAATGGTGGAAGACAGGTGGCATGATCCGCAGGAGGCTCAAAAGGCCACTGATGCGATCCTGACACTGCACACTCGACAGTTTAAGTCAGTAAGGGATGCCACCGACGCTGTAGAGCGTTTGATTTGTGTTCCAGGGGTACGCTATGACCCCCAGGTCCTG